CAAAAACCGGTTTGAAACGACGCTCTTTGCCGTAAGCATGTCCCCTTGAATTTCCAGAAATGCCACACTCTGACCTTAGGCAACTCCAATCACGACTCCCAAAAATCGCAATGCGATCAACCGTTTAACTGATACGTAAGCCTAACACCGTTCACATGTGGAAAATCTGTAGATCGTTAGCACTCGTTCCCTTAATGCATGCGTTTACCGGCTAAGTAGCAAAAAGTATTCTAAACACAGTGACCACGATGGCTGGAGGGATGGAGTTTGGATGACGCCATTGAACGTCATTGGTGGGTCAGACTCTCAGTGCGCTTGAAGTGTGGCTTGGGACTGCCTCTTGAGGCCTTTCCACCATTGACGCTCTTGATGTCATCAAAACTGCGCCGCTCTCCACCCATCGATCGTGATCACTGCCTTCAAGTAGAAATGTGCAACAAAATGAAATCTGCACGATATTGTGCCGCTTATGGATATTGATAGAATTACAGTAAATGATGTTTATACAACAGGGCGAAAACACTGGTTACGGAGGAGCTAACACACTAGTTTTTAGCTTCGCAAACGGCTCGAGTGGCCATAAAATATTCCGTCACTGATTCAACTGATTCTCACAAAGTGCTTGCGAGGATTGGAAGGAGGTAATTTGCTGTCCACACTCCTTTTCACACTAAATCGGTGAAATTGATGCGCGATACAGGTCGCCGCTGCGACCAGTCAGCCAGTAGGTCTCCATCACTCCTTTTCCCTGAAATATGAATATTGTTATGGGTGATAGTATCCGTCATTAGAGTAAATTCTGCACACTTTCCTCCAAGGCTAATCTGGTAGTCAATTGCTAAGAACAATTTTGAAGACGAGGTTTCCATATAACCTCCGGACTCCTCATGAAAATTTTCTAACCCAACTTCGCTATAAAATGACCTTTACAAAATTCGCCGTGATAGGACCCATCCTATCAACAGCGTGCACCTAACCTATGCCGCGTCTCCGTCGTGAGCCCAAAAATGGGAGAATGTGACGAAAATGGCTAGAAAGTCGGAAGTGAACTTGTACACCCCTGTGGGCCTACCTTGATAATGACTTCTCCTCTTGATTCGACTTCAAATCCTCCAACTTCCATTAGAAGTTGTTGAGCCTCAGATGACAAATGAATCTTTCCAGCTGAAACCACAGCAGCTATGGAAAACTTCTGAGTAGTAAATACATTTTACGGATCAAAAACTGAACTAAGTGCTTATACAAAACGCGGGCATCCTTGCAGACTGAGATTAGAATTGGCGCTGGAAACTTCGGAGAAAGAATTCTGAACAAAAAGGAGAAATTTCCGTGGTTTCAAATGCACCATAGTATAATATAGCGTTCTGAGCTTTTCCCAATAAGGAAGTGAGGATGAGATTACTTTTTTTTTTCAAATGCAGCTGATATATCGAAAGACAGCGGCATTGAACAATACGTACCGCTGATGAGGTGATGAGTTTTGTCAGCGCTACGAAGATCCCCCCCAAAGGTGCGTGACGATGCACGTTTAGCAGAGAAGGGTACACGCAGGGTCAACCCTACGTTGGTACAAGTAACAACGGGGGGGTCGTACCTGGTTGAGTTTGTAGGAGGGGGGTCGTACCCACTTTAGTCGCTCGAAATCACGTGTGGGATTGAGGTGAAACTAAGATTTCGTGGGTAGTAGGCTGGGCGAGTGGAGGGCGCGCAGGAAAAAATTGCCGTTTCAGCGGGCGTATATACCCCCCCCCGCTCGACGGCATTTTTGGAGGAAAAAGTGGGCGGGGTTTGGGTTGAGTGGTACCAGAATTAATACTATAGAGAGGAATATGGTGGTCGAGGTGTCGAAAAGGGGGTCGTACCAAAGTCCACCTTGGGGGAGGGGGGTCGTAAAAATTTTTGAAAAAGTAACAACGATACTGACCCTGGGTACATGTAGGACCAGTAGGGTCGTACCGGCGGTGTCCACGGCTTTATACGTTCACCGATTGGTGGTTCCTTTGTCGTCGGACCCTAGCTATTTTAGCAGAAAGGCAGTGCAGAGCGTTCATGACCTCAGAATCGATGAAACTCACCCCGGCGCAGAGACTAACGGGAAGAATAGGGGTCCTGTTCCACAGGTTCTAGACCGCAATCATGTTTGTCTTCATCTCTGCATCATTGACCACCACCCCCCTCTATCTTCATTTCTGACAGGCGATCAAATCATTATTCATTAATTTAGCTCAAAATCCACCTCTAAAGGGAAAGGAATGGTCGCACCGATGGTACTCATGGACGCCCAGCGACTCTAAGCTTACATGTGCCTTTTCTACGAGAACGAAGTGTGGTTAATTCAATCAATATCGAAAAGCATATGAAACCCTTCTAACCAAGTAAACTCCTCTCTCTGAATATGCAGTATTGAACGGGTTTGGGTACTAGCATCTATTCTCTAGAGCTAAGCTTCAAGCGTTCGGAAAACTACTAAATTTCAAGGTTTATGTCAACTGAAAAATAACTACGGGCACCGTAGATCGAAAAATGACTAACGTTTTCCATTGCTTTCCATTCTGCTTGCAGTATTTACAGTATCACCAAAAAGACAGTAACGAGGCATTGTTAGTCCCACTACTCCTGTCACGACGGAGCCTGAAGAAGAGAAAGCTTTGAGTTGATCGGGACAGCTACTTCCAAGATAGGAACTCTTGCACTATTAAAGTATCATTAAGAATTTCAGCTTAATCAAGTGTCACGATCTCAAACGTCAGACTGTCGCCTAATGGTGTAAGGAGCGAAGAACACTTCCTGTTTGGCAGTGCTACCCTTGAATAAGTATTCAGTAGTGAGTAGTTTTAGATGACCGTAGCATTCGGTTGCCATCGCATTCTCCACAAGTTTCGTACAGCTACCTACATCTTGAGGCTGGGAAAGAACGCGAAGATAGAAATAAGTATACTCCCTTTCAAAAAACGAGAAGAGCGTCGGGTGCAGACCATACACCACAAGTGACGACGGCCTCCACAAAATGTAAATGTTTTCTGCCAATGAAATGATTAGCCTGTTGCAGTTCTATCAGTTGTCACTAATTACAACTATCATTTACCAAAAATCAGCTATCACTATGAACCACTACTAACCAGATTTACTTGGAGGCCGTCGTCACTTGTGGTGTATGGTCTGCACCCGACGTTCTTC